GAATGATAAAAAAAGAAAGAAAAGGGAAATAGTATATTAAAAAATGTGTGATTTAAACAACTGAATAAATTTGCAAGGTACACATTAAATGTATGATGTATATGAATTAATAGTTCTGCTAACTGGAATTCATGAAAAGAGGGCGCTATAGTATAGTCTTGACGTTCTGTGTCGATAAGGTAGTGGAGTTGACCAGAAAAGCTCGCTACGTAGACATGCAATCTATGTACAATATCATTTCTGTGGTTAACGCAATATGTAATAACTTGCAATTTTCACAAAAGTAGAGGCTGATAATTTAATTTCCTGCATTAGAAAATGTACTTATACAAAAAAACTTGAAAGTACAGATATTAATTTATACAGAAATAGTAGCCTGAATTATTTCCTTCCGTATTCCTGTACAAGCTAGACCTTTATTATACTCATAAAAATATGCAAACGCTATAGTGCTTCATTAAAATCTTTAACCTACATTTCCTATAATATATCATCGAGCAAATAATCGAATTGTCCCCAGTCATCCGCTATGAAAGAAAATGAATAATATCAAAGAAGTGTCAATATCTCTTACCGTCTGAACCACCGCTTCAACAGCCATAAAGAATCGGACAAATTCACGACAACATATTTAATGAAATACATACTGAAAAATTAAGATTTATGACTCTAATTATTCTATGAATACTTACACTTCAAATGAATCGCTATCAAACTTAATACTCTCGATCCACCACTGGAAAAGTTAATTGAAGTCTGAACAAAAATTAGTTTGGACACTAAAATATGGAAGTTCACGAATTGCGCCGATAGTTCGATTGTATCGATATTCGATAGTTATCGATTCAAGAGTTTCGATAGGCGGGAGGCTGTTTGAACATAGTTCCTTGTACGAGCAATGCGACGGGTTGGGCGCTCGCGTCAGTGCCGTGAGAGCTTCAAAACAAGATCGTGTTTGGTGGCGAGTTTATTTGATTTTGTGATTGATATGATCGAGGAACACGACGAACGTGAAACAATATGCGATTCAGTGGTAAGTGGTGCGGCGCGTCGAACACGACAGCGCAAACACTTTCCAAGAAGGAGGTCTCCGAGCGTAGCTATGCGGTTATTATGAAATTCTAACCTCACTTTCAGAATTCATTGGTGGAAGGTTGTCGTTTGCCGGTCAGAATGCATGGGACGGACGATTGGCGTAAGTAAAACATTCACTTCCGTATTCGTTCTGTACACAATCGTTAATTCCCTTCGGAAAGAGTCATGATTTTTGTCGAAATTCTATATGCCATTTTTTACCAGGAGAATTCGTAGATATGTGTGTCAATGAATAGCATTAAAGGGCCGTTTTCTCGGCCCACAGATCCCTCGTTTCACGTAGCGTTAATCACGATTGCATTGCAGGCACCAGAATCGTTGTTGTTTTGATATTATTTGAACTCATTATCCATGTAGAATGAGAAAATTAGTTTTAGGTTATGTTTAGATACTTTGGATGTGCACAGACAGTGTGTGCTGCATACTATCCGGTGTGTCTCGAACGTCAATGAATGTTTATATTGCACAGACGTAGAGGTGTAGCGATTAAGGGTTTATCAAAAGTGTCCTTTTATCATCCACAGCCCTCGCTGAAATCATCAGTGTTAAAGAAGTACACGGTGTCAAGTGTTATTATGTTCACTATGTAGATTGTAAGTATATAGAGACATGATTAAGGAAGGAGGAGTTAACCAGTTACGTACGTAAACAACCATCTAATTAAATGTACAACATTTTAGTCAATAAACGATTAGATGAATGGGTTATGGAAGATTGTTTGGACACTAGGAAAGTCCAATATCCTAGACGAGATGGTACCACGCCAGGTACGGAGGCAGCCACTCCTAAAAAGCAACCGGTCAGTAGACCACCTAGCCCTAGCAGCCTTAGCAACGAACCAGTCAATGGCCCCGCTGTTTTACAAGCGGCGCTGCAAAAGAAAATGTCTAGAAAAAGAAAATCGACGTTCATTGAGAACGAAGATTCTCAGGAGGCGCCGCCGCAAACACCTGGTCCCAGGCCGACTGGTTCGCTGGTTGCGCATCACCACGATGACATTGTTACCAGGATGAAAAACGTTGAGTTGATAGAACTAGGTCGCCACAGAATCAGGCCATGGTATTTCAGTCCATATCCCCAAGAAATGGTGAATCTGCCATGCATATACATTTGCGAATTCTGCCTGAAGTACAGAAAAAGTCGGAAGTGTTTGGAGAGGCATCTAATCAAGTGCAATCTTAGACACCCTCCTGGCAACGAGATATATAGGAAAGGCTCGATATCGTTTTTCGAGATCGATGGCCGAAAGAACAAGAACTACGCACAAAATCTCTGCTTGTTGGCAAAGTTGTTTTTGGACCATAAAACGCTTTACTACGACACAGACCCATTTTTGTTCTATGTAATGACAGATTTCGACAGCCGGGGGTTTCACATTGTCGGCTACTTCTCAAAGGAGAAGGAGTCGACGGAGGACCACAACGTAGCGTGTATTCTAACACTGCCACCCTACCAGAGGCGAGGTTACGGCAAGCTGTTGATAGAGTTCTCGTACGAGCTGTCCAAGTTCGAGGGTAAAACAGGTTCCCCCGAGAAGCCATTGTCCGATCTAGGATTATTATCGTATCGTAGCTACTGGGCGCACACGATACTGGACATCCTGTTGAACATAAAGCCGCTAGTGGAAAACGAGAAGCCGCAGATCACGATCAACGAGATCTGCGAGCTGACGTCGATTAAGAAAGAAGACGTGATATCGACCCTACAGAACTTGAATCTCATTAATTACTACAAAGGACAATATATTGTGACGTTGAATAGGTAATTGGCTATCATAAGTCAATCAGGCATCGTTAGGGCAAAACCGGTCGGGCAGACAGACCCAGTTTCGTTACAGACAGTTTTAGCTTCTTTTTCAGTAATGCCAACGGCTACCGCTGGCTGAGCTACCTCACTGACGAACGTATTTATTCGCAGGGATATTATCGAGCAACACGCGGCCGCAATGGAAAAGAGGCAGATCAGAATAGATCCTAAGTGTCTGCATTGGACACCAAAAGACTGGAGTGTTAGGGCAAAATGGTGAAGTGATCGTTAGACACTGACAATAAGACGATGCTAATTTTGTCTTGACATTCTTTTCAGGAACCCAGGAAGTGACTGCGTATGATTTTTGTTAGCGGGTTGTACAAAAACGAGAGAGTGAGAGAGAGAGAGAGAGAGAGAGAGAGAGAAACAAAAAGCAAAACTGTACATAGAATATTTTCGACCGGTTACGGGTCCCATGCGTTTTAATAAGACTGTGTCGGGCCATTGTGGTCCGAGGCGAGACACTAAACGAGAACAGAGAACAAACATGAAAAAAAAGCAAAGAGACTATATAAATATATATATACATATATATAAGAAAAATCGTTCACGATATATGGCACGCGTATGTCGCGGTTCACGATGAAACTGTGATCAAAGGAGGTTTCTTACGCGTGCAAATTTCAGACGTGTCCGTACATATATATAGATAACTATATATAGATATAACGCTGGCTTATGCGGCTTGAGTCAGAGAGCGACCTTTTAATATGGTGACTAGGAATTTTTTAAAACAAGTACGCATACGTATTTGCGATCGAACACGATTTGTACAGGAACTCTACGATACCGAACTTGTAGAATTGTAAATAAATCTGATTTTATAACGCGCGCGCGCATCATTCTCCGCATACACGATCGCGACGATTCTAGTTTTAACGATAGCTATTTCGACCTCGACGAACAGCTTGTACAGGTGTCCCCCCGCCCCCGACCCCCTCGAATTTTTACATTCTTCGGCCGTAAGGTAATCCGACAGTTTTTCCCACGGAAAAGAGATTATTATTATTATTACTAATAACGATGATCCGATTAGTACAACGTAGAACACATGTACACATATTTGCACGACCGTGCACAGAGTTACACACACACACACAAACACACAGGGAGACAGACAGACAGAGAGTATACACTACCTTTGACCGCCATTGATCGTTCATCTGAAACAAAGAAACGAAAAATTTGATCTTCCACGGAGATCAGGGAAACAATAAGTTTAATTGGACTCGCCTATTATCGCATTAAGGAGATACGGAGCTTTCGTTTCATGTTATATTATCAGCGGCTGTGTCCGAACAAGTACTCGATCCGTTCGATAAAACAGAAAAAGAAGACGTTAATCGGTCGACCTGATCCAAGATTGTTCTACCAAAACGAAGAGTTACCTATGAACCTGCGAAATAAAATCGATATTTTTCTCTGAAAGTGTGTATTTTTGATAGCGACGAACGGTAGCGTTAGCTGGAGCTACGATTCTCGATTGGAAGAGATAGTGCGGGTAAACACGTGGGTGTTGTGTGATGATTGGGAGTATGACGAGGTGGTTCCCCGTAAAACAATGGTGGTGCGCAACGAGAGAATACTTTATTAGCATGGTGCATATGAAATGTTCATTTAGCACGAGACATTTCCCAAAATCGTGAAGTTTCGTCCTCGATCCGTTATTTAACACTAAAACTACGGGTTTATGCATTTATTATGCGCCAAAGAATTTTATGCATGTACAGCATCTTCGATCTCTTAAAGCCGAGTATAGAAATACGTTTATGAAATTTATATCTGCGTTTAAATATAATAACATTTCTAGGAGGATCGGAAAATTTGTTTTCGCCTTCGTTTTCTATAATTCCGCATAAAAAAAATTTATATAAAAAGATTCACAATGTATATATAACTAAAAAAAAACTTGAATAAACACATTCGTACTATTTTCATAAAGTATTGGGGTCCGTAGATCTAGTGTTAATTGCAAAAACTTTCCCGATTTAATTACGATAATTCGAACATGTAAAGGATCTCAAGAATGATTAAATCTTGAAGATCAACTTCCTTTAATGACGCGCACAAGAACATAACATACGCACCTTAATATCGACCTCTATCTCGATCACGGTTTTCCACTCGTCTTCAAAAGAAACAGACTCGATATTTTTTTCAAATACAGCATCTTTTATGTATATATATATATATTTTTTATATTCAACAGTAACATCACAGTAGCTTCATATACAATAAATTTTTTTTTTTTGTTTCGGTTCATAATCTCATCCGCCATTGTATTCGTTACCACGCGAGCGTGACACGGCGAGTCCCGGATCGTTTGCGCTGATTTACAAAACTCTCTCGCTAAGGTCTCGGCGACGAAAAATAGTACAGAGAGTGATAGAGAGGGAGAAGGAAAGCCGCGCAAATATTATTCGGGATCCTCGGGACGACCGCCAGCATTCCCCGATACAGGTTTCACCGGCGAGACAACCGAGTATCCGAGAAATAAATGCGAGCTCAGCGGGAACCGTCGCCGTCGTCGACGGGAATCCGAATGATATTGCTGACTCGCCGCGAAGCTGGCGGCTCGCGCACAACGAAACCGTTTTCGCGACGGTCACGTAGAACCCGATCATCGACGAAAGTAATCGGCAGCCTCTCCGACGGCCATTATTGAAATACCACCTCGGCCCTCTCCGGCTATTATACCTTATCAACGATAAACGCTTAATAAATACAGACTCGGAACTCAACGGATTATTTTCACACTCGCAACGCTGCGCAACACGCACGCACACGGCCAGTAAACACTCCATTTACGCGGACTACGCCAATTTCTTGCGAGTTATTGTGGACCTTGCGAAAGTTTTTATAGAACGAGCTTTGCAGAAGAGAACTGTTTCCATTACAATTTTTAATGGATTTTATGTGGTAGACGATGCACCAAAAAATTGATCTTTCCGATCGTAGAGCACTGGTCGATACTTTATTTACCTAAAGCCTATTAATGGACTTTCTAATTACCGCACATGACATTTTTCTTCGCAATAATCATTCCGGATGAAGTTATTATATTATGTTAATCCAAATAATTCAGTTGATTGTGGATGAGCAATCAACAACAATTTATTAAGAAATTTTCAACTGTTGATCGTCGACTTTAAAATTACCTGTAAATAGTAAATAAGTGTAAATAAGCGTTAAGTCGTCCTTCGTTCTAATTTTCTTCTTAGCACGTGAACGTTTTTTCATGGTGCAGCCATTTTCTTTTTAGAAACACTGTGGAACGTTCGTTTTCTATTTTATGGTGTCGTAGCATTCATACAATCTGTATTAATCTACGAGGAAATAACTATTGCATAAATTTGATTTCTCTTTGTAAAATTTGGCGTACGTTAAAGTAAATGGAGTTTTACCGTGCACATGCATACACAGACACAGTACACACTCGCGGAACACACAGACTGAGCGATCACTACCATGTTGATTGTATTCGTGTTCCGCAGACAGAACCGAGTATCTGGGTACTTGTGAAACACTCGATGCACGTTAGCCTGAGGACTCGGGATACACCGGAAACGGTAGTTTTACTTCCGGACCGATCAGTCGTGAGTATCATATGAACTATGAAAAATGGCTGGATATACTCATGTAACGAAAGCAAGTATTCGAATAAAGAATGAAACCCGAAACGAGCGTTGCTTTTGTCATTTGTCATTTGTTTGTTTCTGGTTTTTTCCGTGATTGCGGTAGAACCTCCATTACGCAAATGGCGACCGAGGCACGGTCCAATGTGTGGTTTCACAGTTTCCAGAGAACGGTGTTTCTCAATTCCCCTCGAATTGGAATGGCGTATTCGTACTAGGCTGACGAGAGGCGCTTAATTAATTAAAGTATCAACATCGTTCGAATTCGTACATACTTATAATCTTTATCTGTAAGATAAATGTTTGATCGATCGTGTTGATATCGATTCGCGTTGATCTACCTCAGTTTTGTTCAAGATCGTTCTCAAGAATCGATGAAAGTTGAATGTTGAATCGATAAGCATTGTTTCGAACATTATTATTGAATAAAATGTTTTTTCTGCGATATTTTGGTGATCTCTGATGTCTTCCGCATTGTCAAGGTCCTAATTAACCCTTTAGTATGCATCATATAAACGCGTATTTTTCTGGTTTCTTCTCAATTTTTAAGTCTTCAATATTCCCCTGTTACTTTAGGTGTCAGTACAGGAAGGGTTAGTTTGGAGACGGAAGTTCTACCACAATTGATTATATTAAACACTTAAGTATAGTCCTCCTTAATTTCCGTACAAAATATACAGTAGATTATTCCACAATGTATGGTCATCATACTTCGAAGGAACGCGATAGAAAACATCAATTTCGTAACTAACATTAACCTAAGAGTACCATCTATTCAAGAAAGAAAATCATTCCTCTCTGTGAGTACATGTATATTCTTAGTCACGCATTATCTCAATATAGATATATATGTATATATACATATTACAAATATAAAATCCCAGAAATCGATTTTACGAACATATTTCGTAAACATTTGAGCATTCGATCGATTCGGCACGAACAAAGAATGAAAAGCACTCCGTTCATCATTTGGCAAATCAAAATAAACCTCTGATCATAAAAGCAACAAACATTTTTCGATGAGACAATCGATACGAATGAATTCTTTCAGTTGGTTATTCCTATTCGTCGATTATTAATCGAATAGAATACTCGTCGTGTCTTTAATATTTAAAGAAAACTCGCTTTCTCGGAGATACAGTGAGAGATCCAAAATGGCGGATGATAGGTCCACGATGTGGGACCGAATGTATCGCGAAAATGGCGGACGATGTGAGGAAGGCTTAAAGGGCAAAGAACACTTTGCGAGATCCTTCGTGAACATTCGATCTCACATTGTTAATAAACTGCGGATCTAAATGCAAATTCACAAACAATATAAATACAAGTTATTTTTTTTTGTCGATTAGTCTCCACGAACAATCTCTCAACAATAAATATTCAGCATAAGATAATATCCTTCAACGATCATTCTCCAAATAGAAGATAAAATAAAACCGTAGAACTTCTTCGATTTGTTAACTTTTAGTTAGTAATTAATCAATTATTATAACATAATTATAGAATTACCGGGTAAGTAAGGGAACAACCAATCGTCCCGAAAAATCCACGAATGCATAAACATCCGCAGCATGATCATTAGAAACGCAGAACATCGTCGATGCGCGCCCAAGATCGAATTCCATCGATCGATCGCGATCCATGCTCGCCGTAGTCCGCCCACGTGGTCACATAGGTATCCATTATAATAATCGTCTTCTTGTGTATCGTTTCTCTTGCATTACTTGTGCATGTATGTACTTATTTCTCTCTTACGTCCTTTCTCTCTCTCTCTCTCTCTCTCTCTCTCTCTCTCTCCTCCTCTCGTTCTCTTTCTCCACGTGTATGTGTTACGTGTGCGCGCGTGTGTACGACATACACATACGTACATGTATAATATGTTCATTCTCTCATCCGTTTGTCTATAAGCTAGCTCTCTGTTTGTTTATATCTCTGTACGAGTACATCTACATTTGAACAGTAGTCGGCAATGGCTGGACAGAATCGCGTTCGATGAAAATTCTCTTCACGTACCCTCTTCCCCTCCCCGTCGATTCGAGGTACTGCGAGGTATGGCTGTGACTTCATTGTCTTCGACCTTTCCGCAGGAATTTCTCCCGAACCTCTGTTTCCTCTGTACTCCAAGATTTTCGCGTTTTGTGACTCCAGCTACTGGTTGCCAAAAAGATCTCCGCATTTCATCGATGATTTCAACACTTTATTGGGGGGAATCCTCGAAAACGCGAAAACCGTATAAAGATTTTATGGTCTCGAGTATGGGGCTGTCTTTTATCGCTAAATTATGTCTCTGCTGGAAACGTTGTGGTATGCTAGACCTCATGGTTTCAGGGTATATTTTTATATCTACACTATAAACCAACTTATACAGTTGTCTAAGAAAGAAAAAATTTATATTTTCCATTTGTACTAACAAGCATATCAAAGAAAGAAAATTCAAAGTAAATATCCAAGGACCAGAGTATCGATGAAATTATAATCTTACCACTAGACTGTGCAGATTTTATGCAGTTATGGTGAAACTGTATAGCTGAAATATGAAATTCCGAAGACATAAGATGAAGTTAATAGTACTGTTATACTATCTTTCATTTATTAAAATTAGTAAAAGAAATAATTTATTTTATTTTATTTCTATTTCACACGATCGTCTTGGAAAATTTTTATTTCGCGTAAAGATCCGCAGTCTACTTATTACTTAGAAATTGCGAAATCGAACAAAAAACTTGGCGAACGTATTCTCACGGTTAAATTAATTTTACCGCACAGTCTCTGATCAAATTTGAAGAATAAGCATCAATTTCTCAAGATGAAAAATTCACGTCAAGGTCGTGTGATTTACGAACGACCCCATACTCGATCGGCCCTCGGCCATTTCCATGACCCCGCTCCTCCTAAATCGATACAGCGATCCATCGTGTACACTTCGATCACACACTAAAACATCTACGCTTACACACCGAATTAGTAGAACTTCAAGCAACACGCAGTCCGCCTTGACTAATAATTTTCTCCCTCGACGCTACACGATCGCGTATTTCGGATTCGATCCTCTGCGACGAGGACCGCTGAGGTACTTTCGAGATCTTCGTCAACATGGATGATGCGTGTTGCGGAAAATCTACCGTTTGTTCGCGCTTACGAAAATGAACGACAACGCGAGAGCATAGCGAGGGGAAGTTCGGTTGTTGAACGCTCCACTTACGATCGCCGAGTTGCCGATCGTTAACGCGCTATCCGCAAGATCGATCGATATTTCGCGACCACGTAGCACTGCGTTATCGTAAAAATAGAAATATCGTGTGAATCATTGGACAACGTTATCTCTTACCAAGTTAATTTGCACGGCCAACCGAATTCAATATTTAAACCGCCTCAACGAAACTGAGTATCTATCATTATTCGACGATAAAAATATTGGCCAACGAAATTGTTACTGTTTCGGATGAGAAAGTTACGTTAAATTCGACGAGCATGTTATTTTTACAAATTTAAAGAATTTCTATTATCATTAACATTCAACTGCGGAATCACGCAGTGGTTTATTTTTCATCGACCAGCGATCACAGATTGCTAGTAACTAGTCTACTTTTTATCGTCCAGCGATGAGAATGCTACGTTTTCTTGTTAACCATTCGCGATACAGCGAGTTTCTCGTGGATTATATTTATATTACAAATCTAGAGGAATTATGTGCAACGATTTACAGTGAACCACAGGATCCACTTAACAACAGCATTTATTCGTCACACGAATAACGAAGCAGCACTACGTTGTCGCAGATCGACGCTAACTCGCGTGTCGACAAACACGGTCGATCGGTGATAACGATTTTTATAATTGAACTCCTTTCATATCCAATCCTTCGATTATACTACTCTTGAAATCAAAATCTATGCCACGATTACCTCCTAAAAAGATTCCCTGATAGAACAATAATTACCAGGCAGTTGAAATTTAAAATACAGTCGCTACATAGTCATCTATTTCCTTCGTGCACAATTTCGAAGAATAGAAAACATTGCGACGGTATTTTAAAAATCTTCGAACATTTTCACTGTTTTCCGCACAAAATTCGCAATCCGATCACCGACGCTGTCGACAGAGGTCTACATTTCACGGGAAAGCGCGTGAACCGTCGACCCGTGGTCCAGAAATTCACTGGCAGGGTCGAGATCGACGAGCAGCTCGGGATCGTTCGCGGTCCGGCGGTAAAAGGATCAAACGCGCCGTGACCGATCATCGCACATCGAGTTCGACACTTCGTTTTTACAAACGTTCACGTTTACAACGACACGTTTTATTTATTTCTTTTTTGGTTGTTTTACAGCTATACATGCGGTTTGCATATTAAATTACCTATTTAGTTCTGTAGCGCCACCGGCGACCTTATGACCCGTGCGAGCACGCGTGTCGCGTTCGATCCGATCGGGACCGGATCATCGGTCGCGATGTAAAAACGCGATGCGCGCGCCCGCGGAGGTTCGAAAGATCAGCCGAGGCATCGATTACAAGCGATAGTTTTCTCTCCTGTTATCTCAGTACTTTCTCCACGAGGAAAAAGAAAACAAAGATCTACTTTCGTCCAGCCGCTTGCCTGAACAATAAGACACTTAACAGTTGGACGATCCCCCGGCCCGGGGAATCGATGAATGATTTTTTTTTCTCTCTTTTCTCCGTTACCGTCTTCGTTCTCCCAACAATGTTCTCATCTACGGACTGGCCGCGTTCGTTTCCGCTTCGTTGGACGCGTGCACGCGCGGGAAAACGCAATGTACGACAATCACGGGGACCAGAAAACGCATCGTGCTCGGATGATCGTGTAAAAAATATCTCTGTGTGTTTTGTCCGTCTCCGTTCCTGTCGCGGAGGAATATTCGTCGGCGAGGGAAGCGTGTGAATAGCGGAATATCGGAGAGACGAATGTCAGACTCTTCGGAGTGCACAGGGTGTCGAGAGCAAACGTAGTCGACCCTATGAGAAATTTTTAAGAATCATCCACAACGTTGTTCTTAGTCCAACTTTTCAATGGACCAGGAAATTCGTTAAGACACGTGAGTTAAAAGCAGAATTTTGACGGATTTTAGGCATTAGTGTTTTTTTTCCAGATCACTGATCGCAGTGTTTCTATAGTAACCGTGGTCAGTGACCTGGAAAGTCTGACCATTACTTTTGCTGCTGCATTACTTTTGAACGAAACCAACATCAAAAATGTAGAAACGAATAATGATCGCTACGTTCTCGACACTTTGTGACACAGAATGTCTCTCCTGTCTTTTCTGTTTCTGATGCGGTGAAGGGTGCCAGATTAGTCTGACAATGAATTATCTAGCGGACACGATCGTCCGGAATGACGCTGATCCTCCAAACAAACGATGTCCTCGTGCCGCGTCTGCCGAATAGAAAACTCGTCTCGAGCAGAATCATTGCGAACGAAAACACTGTTGTCTCTCTTCTCGTCGATCCCGGGTGATCGTTAAAAAGGAGCCCTCTTCGTCCTTTCGCTCCCCCTCTTTTCTTTGATACATATATATGTATATGTATATACATATATATATATATATATATATATATATATATATATATATATATATATATATATATATATATATATATATATATA